TTTTTTTTTTTTATTTTTTTATTTATTTCCCCCCCCCTCCGACCGGCCGAGAAGGTCGAGAACTGGCTGTTGGGGCCGACAAATCACGCTACTGGGGTAGATAGTTTTGATCTGACTTGGACCCGGGAACCGGGGTCCTGGCAGACGAAAGCTCCGAAGCATCGCCGACGTGAACATGACTTATGCAGGACCCGAGGGAAGATTTGTCAAAACTTATCTGATAATGTTGGCAGAAAGTGGTAGTGCATGCCAGAAGCGCCGACTCGGGAGGTAACGTAGGGGCTGCGCCGGACAACTCCGACACTTTCATCATAGCCCGGAGAGGTTCGCTAAGCCCGAACGGGTAGATTACCACTTAATCAGAAATGACAAATTGACAGAGACGGTTAGCGCATAGGCACTAGCCACACAAAAAGAAGTGGCAGTGCATGTGGCTGGTGGAGTGCAGATGCTTGAACCAGGAGCAAAAGTAGAGAACTGCAGAGGAGGAGGGGGGAAGATCTTGACAAAGGGGTCCGCCAGTGGATAACTCCACTGGGGAAAAAAAAACGACAATCACCCAATACTGTTACATGATTCCCAGCGTTGTATGCAGGCGGTTGAACATGTCACCTGTAAGGGACCCTAGTATGTCGTGGCCCCATCAGCACCTTGAGACACGAGATCTCTCTCCCATGACAGTGGCTCAGCTCCCGCGTGTTCCACTCGCTGATTGGCTGCCCTAAGCCCCTAGTGTGAATGAAAAATCCATTTTGGCGCGCGTTGGGTACTATATCGAGATCAGCCATACACTCTAACGCTGAAGACCGTGTGGATGAAGACCCGCCAATCATTGGAGCTATTATTGAATATTTTGATGCTAGGTATTGTGAATGATTCATTATGACACCCGGAGTTAAGCAGCGGTCTACATGATGTTATTTTAGTATTTGTCATAATTATAGAATTTACTAGTCTTTGATTTTTAATTATAGGAAAATAAAATCAATCGGCAGTTTCTAACCGAAACGGATTTAATTGCATATACTCCATGTTCGGAGGTAAAGTGAGTTGTGGCTGATGCTGATGGAATGATGCATAATACTATGCAAGGGAGAAAAAAAAAAAAAAAAAAAAAAAAAAAAAAAAAAAAAAAACAAAAGTGAAAACAAAAAAATAAATAAAAAATATACTGCATTATTGAGGCAGGGATTGTGGCTTGTACCCCGAACAATGGATCTCGTAGTACGATTTCCAGTTACGCTTCGTAGGGTTGATAGTGAATTTAGTCGGAGCCGGGGGAAAAAATGACCGAATAAGCAAGCGACTTCTGCTTTTGCTTTTTTTGTTGAGCCTGTGAATTATTTTTCACAGCCGAGGGAACTTTTCGACCCCAGATGGGTAGTGCAGATCTAAGGGCTCTTAGGCCCTTTTTTTGATTTTTTTTTTTCTGACGCTAAAATAAAATAGGTGGGTAAATATTACTGGATCGCGGAAAGTCCGGCGTAAGTACGGAGTACGGAGTTCTAAAAATCGAGGCGGTAATCTTACGATACTAGTTCACTGACCGGTTGACTCATGATCGGCCGCCGGGGGGGGGGATGCAGTGTGGGTGGGTAAGTTGTGGTAAATACTCGTTCGGTCATAGCCGGTACTAAATGGGTCCTTAGCGTCAGTTTCCTTCCCTTTGGGACTGCAGGTAAAACGTCATTAGTATCATCATAAAAGAGGCGCATCCCCCAAACCGATTGACCTCTTTCCCTTCTACTCCATACCATCAGATCAACTTATTATTCTTCCTGAAACTTGTCACAGTTTATTGATCGCTCTCGACCTTATCAAGCTCTAATCTTTCAGACTCCTCAATTGTATTTCCTCTCTTCCCCACGCACCACTTTGACATTCTCCTCATAGTAGGTTGACCCGTACCAAAATACCGTGACGTCCTTTCTCCATCTTTGACTTTCCCAACTTACGACAACTTTCCCACTCAACCTTGGGTCCACTTGAACCTTCACCATCTGGGAACAGATTTAACTAACCAGCAATCTCTAAAGTTTACGTCTTCTCCTTCCCAAGGATTCCTAAGCGACTGAGTCCTCCATCGCTTGTCCCACCTCATTGGACTACGACCTGCCGGACGCTTCCAGACCCTTCGACCCACTCGTTATCGCAGTTGTTCGGGGATAAAGATAATCGGATCTTGGGCCGTTAGCAACTTTTCTTTGGGAGGCTTGGTGCCATACCTAGTACTTAAACTCTGGAGCCTCCCCCAGTGGCGAATCCTCTGAACTTCCTCATCCACTCCGGCGTCATACCCTTGACGTCCATTCGTTGAAAGAGAACATGTCAATGTACCCTTCGATACGCAATAAGGGTTTTATCTGTGAACCACCAACCTCTACCCCCTTCATCAATTTCCAAGACCCTGTTTTCATTCAGGACGAGTTCCTTTCCGACTGGTCGCAGGAGGCAGCTTTACAGTTCTACAACCAACAACTGCCCCGGCTCCAATCACCTTTCCAGTACCACTCGGGTCCTGAATTTTACTCTCCGCCGTCTTCCGCACCGTCGTCACCGACTTCCTCTCCAGCCTCTTCCACCTCCCACCTGCCAGCGACAGCTGCGGTTGCCGCGGAATACCCCAACTCCTTAGAGGCGCCTTCGATGACACCCGTCTCCTCCTATAACTCATCATTCAACATCCAGCATACCGCGACAACACCGTCCTCACAGCCATACTTGTCACAATATCCTCAATACCTCTTTGAAAACTCCCCAATGTTGGCTCAACAGCCTGTCGCAAACACCCACGGCTGGGAAAACAATCTGCAGCTGCTGAGCTCGGCTCACATGCAGCACAAGGCATCACCCAGTACCTCGTCGACTCGGTCTGCGCCTGCAGGAAGCTCGTACCAGAGATCTAACGCTTCTACATTGTCGAAACCTTTACCCACTCCCGTCCAGACACCTGTTCAGAACTCGTTTCTCACCGCGTCCTATCAGCAGAACTACGACACTTCGGTCCATGATGGTAGCCAAGCTGAAGCGGAAATGGTGAGGCGGGCTGTGATGGAACAACATCAGAAGCAGCAGCAGCAACAAAATCGCCACCAGCATCAGCCAAGTGATTATTCACTGGCACCTTCGGTATCTACTGTGAGCCACAACTCACCAGTTACTCCTCAGACAAATATTGAGGAACTCGACGAGGCCTCGAAGGCGATGGTCAATGGTGAGAAACGATATCCCGATATAGACCGATGGATGGATGATTACTTACATCTCGATGCCTTTGCAGACTACAATAACCAGAACGGAAACAATCTTCCGATTGGCATTCCCAGAATCAACCGAACTATGTCGGACATCTACCAAGACGAGCTCTACAACCCGGCCCTTATGCCGACTCCCCAAGTCTCCAAACAGAACACAAATCAGCAGAGTCTTCTGAACCCATTCAGAAACGTTTTTGCTGATCGGCTGCAAGCTGCCAACCAGGGCCACATGACTGCACGGTCTCATTCTCCTGTTGTAAGCATGCACCGGGATCGGTCTCCTTTCCGACAGAACTCTCCCCTGGCTGCTGAGTACAACGATGGGCTCCAGCAGCCCCAGATGGCGACCAGTGTGCCTATGACTCAGAATGTAGGCCAAAGTCAAGGAGCAGGAGAACCGAAGACTATGTCGCCCAAGGATGCCCTGCTGGACTTCAACGAGGGGGATGATGCCGGGATTCCTTTGTTCCCGGCAAGTCAGCCTGACTTCAACCTTGGTGAAGCCCTCGGCCTACGACGCGAAAGCTCATCATCATTCCCGCAGTCGCAGAACTTCACTTCCATGGAGTCATTCCCTACGCAATACGCTCAGAGTGGACTTCCCCAGCAGTATACCTTTGCGCAGCAGCAACAAGACCACCAGCAACAACAGAACAACCTCTTGCACCAGACTCCCGAATTCCCTGCATCCCTACCCCACTTCGAGTCTACTAACAGTGACGTGGGGGTCAACAATGGTGTGGCTTCTCCACCGGCACAGCCCACCATGGCGATGCGCCCAGTGAAAGAAGAGATCACCCGCCCTGAGCGCACTTCTGCGGACAGTGGTACTTACACTTGCACCTACCACGGCTGCACGCTTCGATTTGAAACGCCTACAAAGCTGCAGAAGCATAAGCGCGAGGCCCACCGTCAGACTACGCCCGGTGGCCACTTGGTTGGGCGCGATACTTCCGCACGCAATTCTCAGGCTGGTCCCCACAAATGTGAACGGATCAACCCGTCTACGGGAAAACCATGCAACTCAGTTTTCTCCCGGCCTTACGATCTTACCCGGCACGAGGACACGATCCACAACGCACGCAAGCAGAAGGTCCGGTGTCATCTGTGTACGGAAGAAAAGACCTTTTCGCGTAATGATGCGCTGACCCGGCACATGCGAGTGGTGCACCCTGAGGTCGATTGGCCCGGCAAGCAGCGCAGGAGAGGCAGGGAGTAAGCCTGAATGGGGTTGTTGGTGTCAGGCGGGCATGCCTCCCATTCGACTTCTATAGCCAACATGGCTACAATTACCCAATTGGAACACGACAAATGGGAAGATCCATTTCGAGGAGGTCCCTTTTCGGGAGCTCCTTTGGGTTCCACCGTTTCCATACCCCCATTGAGTCAAGATGACGCCGGAAAGCCTCTGACGTCATAGTTATACCCAAAGGGGAAAGGACTCGCTACCGGGGCCGGATCGTCGGCATGACTTCCGCTTCGGGAGTCACGGCCTTGTGGCCTTGCAGCCTGGTGCAGCAATCATGACATCATCTTCGATATCATTCCTGAATGACGTCATTGCTCAACAGATCTAATTCTGGCGATGTTATCGGTCACTTTACTTTTTCTTTTCTCTTTTTCGCGATTAGACGGTCGCTTGTGATGACGCATGTGGATTCTTTTTTTCTTTTCGTTTCTACTTCCTACGGTACCATACAGGTGTGGTGTTTCGAATTCAGACAGCCGGCTCAGTATTTTATCATTTTTTCTAATTGCGGTTATTTTTGCGACTTGAGCATATGTGGGGCTTAGATTTTTCTTTTGTTTTGAACTGGTTTTACCACTGGTGGTTAAAATGGTCGCATCCAAAAAGAAGCAACGGGTTCATTGGGGATTTGATGCAAACTGATATTACCCTCATCATAATTATTCTGCGGTTGGTTTTTCCAAAGTTTTCGAGCAAGCCGTGTTACGAATCCTTTTTTGTTACGATGTACAATATTCACTCATCCTGTACGATCACTATGATATGACGTCTGCGTGCTTTTTTCTGATTTGCATTGGGCTGGCATGGGTGTGTTGGGACAGTGTACAGAGTGTGCATTGGATTGGTGTGTATAGTATGACCAACATGTATAAATAGTCACTTAATGAACCGCGAGGTTACCAAAACTTCTGATCCACACCAGACATAATCATTAGTAACCGTCCACCTCTATTTCCGAGTCCTGAGGCAATCATAAGCTCCGAGTCAAGACAGCTCCGTTGTCAAAGCTCAAGCTTAGCTGCCCCTCACTTCGCTTAGCAAGTCAAGCCATCATCACCATAACCATCGTCCATAGACATCAAGATCCCCGACCGACTAGTTGGTAGAATACGAGCACGACTACGTATACTCTCCATTGAAGATGGAAATTAAGACCAGCCGTGCGCTTCCCACTGGCCCTCTCGTCTCGCCCATAGGATGCCAGCAATTGAATCGTCAACATCATCACCCTGTTAATCACGTCGATCTTCCCCGCACTAGGCCCCACTGTAATTCCCATGCAATCGGCTGTTGTGTGCGTTGATTCGCCAATGGGTCTAGAGCTGTGACAAACATGATCCATTCATGCACGTCTCCTTATATTAAGGCCCATCGGTGATACGAAAAGTCGTTATCCGTGGGTCCAATCCTGCTATTAGTGGCATCATTTGACAAATAACGAATCGAATAATTCCATTCAGAAATTAGAATTTAAAATGAACAATATGTATACATGAATCAGAAACTTCATAGCCACAATTTTCATGTGTAACGCAATGCGGTATTGTGACTTTTGACGGGAGGGAGTGGGGGTTTACCGAGTACATTTGAATTGAATTGTTCTTTGTATGTATCGCATGTTTGTTTGTATGTACAAGGTTTGTGGCGCAGTTACTACATAAAAATATTTGTATCTACTTTATTTTAATTCACTGTACAGTTCGCTATACATATTGCTGTAGACCTGAAACTGAACCTAAATTGGAAGTTGAGGATCCCTAATTTTTACAAATTCTGTTTCTGAAATTTGACAATCATTCAAAAAAGACAAAGAAAGGGATGCGTGTGATCTCAGATCTACAGTTGAGGTAACCGCGATATCATACTTCAGTCATACGCCCTGTTTTGCGAAGGGATGGGACTTGAATCATTGAATCATGGGGCAGATTGTCGTAGTACATCCATACATACCGATGACGGGAAAAGGGGATGTACAGTAATGTAAGATTGGATTCGTGCGGCGTTGATCATGACGCCATTTTGCAGGGGGCTTTTGGTGGGTGTGTCTCGGGTAGAGATCCACTGTACTTTCTTTGACTGTGGCTGAGACTATCTTAAACATTCTTTGGGTTCGTTGATGTAGTACTCGGAGTATGGAAATGTAAATATGGTGAATGGTTGTATTCGTCTATCTTGTGTATAATTGGAGACTCGATCACTGTACTGTCTGGTGTAATTGAAGAGTCAATTAATAGTAGTAGTTCTCTGGTGGGGTAAAGGACTCATCTAATTACTTTGCATGAAGCTCTACAGAGTAACTAGTAGGGACAGATATTTACATCCATTAGTCCTGTTCATGACAGTTGGAAGATCACTTGTCGGCAGAGCTGAAATGTTCAGTCCGTGTGGCTTGAATAGTTTGTTGGGAGTTGTTGTGTATCAGTTCTACTACTCTCACTAGGCATCTCTTTCAATAGAACGGGCGAATGCTCTGGTAAGGAGGTATCCCTGAGCATCCTGAAAATGCCTTGACTTTTATCTACTGCGCTTTCAAGAGCATTCTGCCATCGCATATCACTTCAATCCTTGAAATATCGACCCAGCTTGTTTCACATCTACCAGGCCATAACTCCGACTTCGCTTCACGAAACCTCTGACTCCCAGATAACTGATCAACTGGCTGACCTTCTATCAGATCGTCGAGTGACCAGTGCCTGATGAACTGCTCTACCTTTCTTCCAAGCTTTCGCGGAAAGTGACTGTCCTCGTGCTGATAGATATCGATTATAACCGGTAGTCTGGAAGGGTTCTTCCACAACGGACTGCAAAGGAACGAACTCTATATAACAGCATTCCGCAGCACGCAGATATCAACATAGTGTATCGTAGTCTATTGAATATGCGGTATGGAACTGACTTTTCCTTAACACCATCCTCATTATCTCTTCTACTTAGACCGAATACACTCCGTGCCCTAAGATCTTTGAAGTTCTATTGTACCAATGTCCATTGCGAAGTCATTCAAGATTCTTGCCCTTGCCGGCCTCATATCAACGCATTATCCAATCTAGGCTGAAATATTGACTGCGCGGATGCCGGCTTCAAAGATTCAATTGTAAGAAAGCTAGCATAGAATTCTCCCAAAGGGCGCAAAGCTATCGATTGCGTGGCGTTTCCATTTTGGTAGATCTCTTATGTTGATAAGGGGCTAATTTGTTGGCGTGGACTGGAAGTACACTCATTTTCTTAATTACGGAGTTTTGGGTACCTGCTGAGAACGCCATATGTTACTATTTCCTATATAATATGCTAAACGGGCTGATACGTCTGCTACTGAGACATGTGATCTTCTGGGATGGTTCTCTGCATAGCATTTGGTCCCCTTCTAGTCTATTTCAGGGTATTCTGGTGAGTTTATTCTCCAGCGATAAGGGAGCCGACCTTGTTGCTGCATAAATCTTGAGAGAGAGCGCGAAGCACTAGAAGAAAAAGATAAAAAAAAATAGAGATTCTATCTTGCGAAGCGATCTATATAGTCTGCTATCCCAGCTCGCCCAATCAGAAGGTGTTAACACTCCCACTTTCAATCTCCTCCATCCTTAGTAATATCTAGATTAGATATCGAGTTTGCCAGAGTGAATAATATCACCGTTAACGAGAAACATCTTTTCTAAAACAAGCCAGTAATTACGAAGCCACGAGCACCCGGGCAGTATACCACTGCCGACACAACACGCATTTGAATGCATGTGGGTCAGGAATGATATAGATCTATTAGCATTTGTCCGAATTTGATTCTGTAATCGAAACATAGCATGCCAGCCTGGGCTAGAGGGGCAAGGAGAAGGCTTTGGCGGAAGGGTTTGCTAGATATTTCGCCATTTGATGGTCCTGTCTGCGTTTGATATGGGTTCTGGTATACGGGTGTGTCGGATTTAGAACTATTTCAGGTTTCATTAACCTGTCGTTGTAGTTGTATTTTAGAATAGGCTGTGCAAGTGTTCTTACCCTTCCATTTTTGGTTATTCCTTGAGATTGAATAGTGAAGGCGCCGACTATACGAATCTTGTTTGATATAGTCCAAGACCGCCGTAGTCAAAGGGTCGAGCACAATAGAACCACCGATAGAGCGAATGCAGTGGCAGGAGCGCGTGGTGGAAATGATAATGAGAGTTGGGCTACTTCCTCGGGGTGAAGCCATGCTATTTCTATTAGTTGACTCATTTAATAGGGGCGTAGCCTAATTTTTATTCATATCCATGGTTCCCTGTATGATAGTGCACCTACAACACCAAGAACAAACTAGTTATAGAAACTTAGGAAAGTAGGAAACCACGAAACTCCAAAGGAGAATATATGCCCATAAAAGCTCTTGATGACGGCCGTCATCCTTTCGGCCGTAGCGAGCTTCTTACATCCTTGAACTCAAGCTTCCTCATAATGCTGAGGTAGTCTAGTCTGTTGAGCAAGTTGATCATATCTCGTACGTCTGCAACTGTGGAATGGAGGCACCAGAGGACGTTCTTCTGACGTCTTAGTACCAGTGCAAATTCCTTTAGACCAGGTATGGATCTTTGTGATGTAGTGGTAAGAAATAGCTCACCAAAAGCATACCTGTCAATGAACAGTAAAAAACCCACTGCACGAAGATCATGGCATGTTCGACGGCTAACAACCGGTCAAGCAAGTTGATAGAGGGTTAGTCAGGAACCTTGACAAGCATCAGGGTTAAGTTAATGTGTCCAGAACAACTCGCCTTAGGAATTGCTAAGCAATGATGCAATTACAGTCCCAAATGATGCTCTAGACTGGATGACTTATCCCTGAAGAATGGTAGATTCTATCTCTGTGCAGTCGGCGGTCATCTTCAATCCGTGCCAGGTGTTGTTTGAAACTCCCTCATGACTGCACCGGCTGGCTCTATCACGAGCCAATTTTTGTCAAAAATAAAATACAGCATAAATGTTTCGAGCCGTCATTATTATGCCTGCTTACAAGGTCATTGTGAACCTGCGGACCTTCGGCCCTGATGAGTGGCCGGGAGACAACTCTTCTCGCCTTCAATGGCCTAGAAGTAGCACGTCTTAGCCGGGGTCTCGAATGTCTATGCATTAAAGGATTAGTAGATGCAAGACTACTCCAATTCTGGCCATCTGC